AGATGTGTAAAACTCAGAACACCAACATTATCGGGTAGGATAGGATAGGAGTATTTTGGTGTGCATCACATCAAGGATAACACCCTAAGTCCGAAGACTTGTTCAGTGGCGTATCTAGGGGGTGCGCGGGGTGGGGGGTATGCCCCACCAAAAATAACTCGTTCCCCCAGTCCCCAAAAATAACGGTCAAGTAGTTAAAAGTAACCTAAAATCACAAAATCACCTTATTTTGCGAATTAGCGCCCCTCAACTGATCATCGAGGCCCCCCAACTGCATCCTAGTACCCTCCCCCACCAGCACCCCCATTTCAAGACTTCTAGATACGCCACTGGACTTGTTTCCAGTGAGGTCCTTCTGGTAGTAAATAGGAAGGCCATGCCTTATTCTATTCTGAAAAGTGTACTGTGTTCCTTACGTACTCATGGGCCATATGGATGATGGGGTTGAACTTATTAAGAATGTTTACTGTACTATTGAGTTAATGCCTCACATGCCATATACGGTAACATATCAATGTTCAGTCTGTATTTAGTTCTGTCAATTCATCAAATAGAACAATGTAACTAAGTTAAAACGCAACAGAGTTTAATACCGCCTTTATTGTTGATCCCTCTCAAGAAGCCCAGTGTAAGTACCCATAGTGACCTACACGTGTTCAAGTATTAGTAGCCTATGCATTAAGTTTAATATAAAAAAATAGGCAGAGTATATCGCTAATTACAGGATGTTGTACAGTATATTGCCAAGTGTCTTTAAAGAGCCCAGGGAGTGGGTTGTGAGTAAAAACACTAGGTGTCTCAGCGAATTTTGAGCCCAGGAACTTGGTATTGAAAGACAAGCTGTATTTTATCTAATACGTTTTCTTTCAGTCGTGATACACTGCCCTTCCGAGGCATCACATTAAAATTCATACAATCAAACCATAACACCTAATCTACTGAATTGGTGAATTAAATTTATTTTATACAATTAGCATTTAATCGATAAGCCATTTGCACCCCATTTATTCGCCACACGGACGCAACGTACACATAAAATACGGCAGAATTATTTTTATTGTTCAACAGTGCAGTTTATTCAAGGCAGTGTTTAATAGCCTTTCTTGATTAAAACTTGTAGCAACCATTGTGTGTGTGCTGATATGAATAGTTTTTTTTTTTTTTTGTTCTATTCCATCTAACTAGTCTTCGTGTAAAATACAGCTCAATGGGTACTAGCTTGCTCATTGTAGGCTTACATGTTTTGTAATATATAATTAGTCGCCTTGTGTATTTCACAATTACCATGCGTTAATGTGCAATGTTGTACTTATGGCTTGACATGTTTTTCATGTAATGTAATATATCGTTTATCTTGTTTTTCTTTCATGTAACATTTTTTAGCAATTGCAATCTACAACAAATATCTAAAAGGAACAAATAAAGTAAATCTTGCCATTACTGTTTGATCTATTTTAACATGCAATTAAATGCATATTATATATACTATTGTGTAATAGAGTGTATCTGACGTTGTTTCATTCATTTTCATTTAATTTAACCATGAAGCTTCTGTGGTCTAATGGTTATGATGCTCGCCTTGACAGTGCGAGGTTGCAGGTTCAAATCCCATCAGTCAAAGACTGTATTAACCCTTCTTTGATTATGATTATTTATATATAACTTAACAGTGTTGACGGCTATCTTGATTTATATTATATGCTATTATTTGTGTTTAGCCGGACCTATTGTGTAATAGAGTGTATCTGACGTTATTTGAATCTGTTCAACCATGAAGCCTCTGTGATCGAACGGTTATGACGTTCGCCTTGACAGCAAGAGGTCGTCGGTTCGAATCCCGTTAGAGGCATTTTATTACACAATTTCTTTATTAATTTATAGGACAAAATTAAGAGCTATGCTACCTTTCTTTGATGATGATGATGATGATTATATATATATATGGTATAATAAATCGAGAAGTCGGAGAAAACATAATCTAGGCGGTTGACATTTTTTCAGGATATGTAAACACGAATATCTCGGGAGTGCCTGCTCTCCCCTTCAGCATATATATATATATGATTTATATATCTGTCTCTTATACACATCTAGATGTGTATAAGAGACAGACATCACCCTGGGTAATTGTCTTTTAAATGGTGCATCACCTGGAAACTGAGCTTAAATTCCGAAAAGTGCAGGTCGTACACCTGCATGTCCATAATCAACCAATTAAATTTCCATTATTTTTTTTCTTTAAAATAATAATCCTCCTCAATTAGTTAACCAATATAAAGATGTGTGTGTTTTCATGTGGCATATCTCATAATCCTCACATCGAAAGCACGTGACGTAAAGTAAATGCATTGCTAAGTTCCTCTATAGGGATACGTGTTTTCATAATAATGTGACCAGAGAAGGGTTGCATTGCGCCATTGTGAGGAAAATTGTCGCAAATATAAATGATATTATGTATGGAGGGGATCAATGGCATCGTGAGGAGGGGGTATTTTGTGTGTGTTTTCATGGTATATAATCTGTACATTGCAAACATGTGACGACAAGCAATGATAGGACATACTGTTCTCTTCCCCTGCCCACATGCTTCATTTTAAGCCCTGTTTAGACTATCAAATTCTGTTTGACATGTGACATGTCTAAATGGTCAATGGTCAACAATTTCAATGGTCATGTATTTTTATAGTGCCTTTCACAGTAAAAAAAAAACCAACTCAAGGCGCTTTTTAGCCACTAAAAAAACTAAAATTTAATTATGAATAGGCACGAACGCGAATAGAAGAAGGAAGATGCACACCCCCGATTTTGAGATGGCGTCGTCATCACTACCGTGTTCACGCAAGGTACCTTGGTGATGATGACATCACATCATGACCATATAGGCACAATCATGACTATATACGGGCATACAACAGTTTTTTTTTGTCACGATTGAGGAGCCAATTTGACTGTACATTGCTAGCCCGGTTTGATCCTCGTCCAAATTATCTGATTGAAAAAAATACAGACTTGTAACCAGAATGATTTGCAAGTATAACATGATAACGACCGTTTTTTGCACCTAAATTTACAACTTTAAGAGAATTTAACTAGTGATCTTATCCTCTTTTACATGATGAGAGATATAAAAATCCAACTTGATACATCTCTCTGCCTCCTAATCAATATTATTCTCCATTCGTATTTCAAGATAATCATTTCATTTCCCCTTCTCAATTTTTTAAATTTTAAACCTTCATCTCGGAAATTTCTCCTTAATTTTCCAAAAATGTGGCGTTTATGTTTTTTATATTTAGAATGAATTGCTGAGAAGGTGGTTGATTCTTGCTTTTCCTTATTTTGTTTTATATTTATCATTATAATGTGATACTTGTATCGATTCGGAGAATATAGCGTTTATGAACCATATTTCTGTGCTAGATAGAAAATACAAGATAAAGGGTTCTTTTATTATATTGTATATAAAAATATATATTTTCCCTAAAATTCTACACGGACGATAAATTAAAAAAAGTTCTCGATACGTTGAAAATAACAGAGATCAATTATACACCCTCATAGATTTTTTTTAGTATGGATTTTTCTAAGACACAAAAGCATATTTTACAAAAAAAAAAAAAAAAAAGAACTTGCGAGCGGTTAAAGAAATACAGATTTTTTGAATATTTAAAAACCTCGGCGTGGAAAGGGGCGTAACCACATTTTCCACCTTACCCTCCCTGTTTTTAAGTATAGATTTGAACACAGGACGCGAGTTTCCAAACGATTCGGCATTGCATGTTTTAGACCAAACAATAAATTAATTATTAAGCCAAACAGCTATATCTGAGTACGATTTTTATAGGCCCTAGCGGTAAACAAATAAGATGCAAAGGTAAATATGTTTATCGTGAATGCAATTTTTCTCCTTCCGTTCCGCTTTGAGTATCCAAATAATATGGAGTAACATTTGTTCTTAATATCTAATATAAAAGACGGTAAGCTCCTATAAATAACAATGGCAAAAGCAATTATATATTAACGATGAAGACTGATGACAAGGAAGTTGATAAGTAAACACGGTTGCCATAGAGACTGATGAGGTTATGTGCTGGGGTTGATATTATTCATGTATTTTTATATCATTTTAATTTTCAGTACTTGTCAGCAGGCGTTTAGATGATATGGAAGGACAAATGTAACTATGGCAACGAGTTGTTCATCCAATGGTCAATGGGATATAATGTGAAATTACACTTGGAGAATGCATGCAAATTGCCGGGCCGTCTATTCATCAGATTGCGGTGCTATTCCCGTTACTGTAAAGCGTATATTGTATGAACTCAGTGTTCCGAGGAAACCGAGTGTCGTTTATGACTGTGAGAAAGCTTTATTGAATCTACTGTACATAGAAGATTTCATAAACACGATACTTAAATGCATTAAACTAAATAAATCACTTGTTCAAAATCTGAAACGCCCTGCACCAACCCACAATGAAAGACACGGCAGCAATCATGTTGCAGATGACTATATTATTAACGCTATGGTTGATTTCATTCGTAGGTAACATGCTTGTGTTAATAGTTGTTTTTCGTAGCAAACGTCTCCAAAGCACCACGAATTATTTCGTTGTTTCGTTAGCTTCTAGTGACATGTTAATGACAATATTCTGTATGCCGTTTATAGCAACGCGTATTGTGAGTGATGAGTGGATTTTGAAAGATGCGTTATGTAAATGGACGCGATTTGTAGAGTACCTGGTGCCGAGTGTCACTGCATTTATTCTGGTAGCAATTTCAACCGACAGATTTTACACTATCATCTACCCACTGACGTTCAAGATTACCCGTGGTACTGCGAAGAGACTCATAATGTTAAGTTGGCTTTTTGCTGTTCTTCTATCATTCCCATCGTTTTTTACAACAGAAACAGAAACTATGGATAAAGGGACTTTTTGTTCTGTATGTTCCGCGAAGCCGGGAGGAAGATCCTTCATCTTAGGACTTTTCTTAATGGTGTATGTGTTTCCTGGTGTGATGGTTATTTCAATTTATACCAAAGTTGTAAGTCATATTTGGACTGTTGGAATTAGCGTTAGAACTTTTCAAAGAACATCAAATTGCATACCTCGTGCCAAGGTAAAAACAGTAAAAATGTTGATTTTTGTAACTATTGTGCATTTCTGTTCATGGCTACCATTATTTTGTGTTCAGATGACCAAGTCATTTAGTAATGATTGTATTGTTAAAACGTATTTGTATGTTGGTGCGGTGTTGCTGGCCTATGCGCCAAGCGCCTCCAACGTTGCAATTTACTCTTACTACAACTCTAACTTTCGTCGCGGTTGTAAAGAGGTGTTTTGTATGTCGACGATGCGCTGCAAAAGAGGAGAAACGTACGCAATAACGAATGCGTCAAAGCTACGAAAAAACAATTCTATTGTCCCTTTGTCGGACAGCTCACTGGGAACTGACGTCACCAATTCATCGTATACGCGCTTCAACAGGACAGCTAATGGAGATTGTAACATAGCCTGGCCACTGGCATCATCCGGAACCCATAACACGTATCTATAAAAGGAAGGAAATGAACTCCAGACAGCCACACACACTAAAGCATTCTTAGAAGTTTAAAACTCCTCTAATATAGTGGTTTGTGCCAACTAAAGCAATCGGATTACTTGATGGATATATCCATACGTACACACACCACCCCCCCCCCCACACACACACACACACACACACACACACACACCACGTACGCGCACATACATATGTACTGCATAGCACCGTATACCAAATTTAAATAAATAGATAAATAATAATAACAATGCTCAAATAGGACGTTTAAAGCATAGCTCATCAAACAGCACTGTTATTATTATTTATCAATTTGTTTATATATATATATATATATATATATATATATATATATATATATATATACATAT